TCCCCGCTTGATTTACAATTTTAGGACAAAAGGACGTTTCTGCACACTTGCGCCTTTTTTATTTAGTATCATATAGTATTTTTGTATTTAACGTAAAGTATTAAGACGCTTATGGCAAATGCGTCTAAGCTAAAACAATTTTACGAAATAAATAGGGCGCAAGTGGTCAGATGTGGTCTTTTTTTCTTAATGTGAAAGCCGTTTTTTATTAGCGCGTTAGACGCAAATGCTTATTTACGTCTTATTAACTTCCTCTTAGAAATACGGACAAATATGCGCCTTTTATATTACTGAACTAAAATAAAAACTGTGAAGTCTTAGGACATTATCTACATAAATGCGACTTTTTAACTAAGTTTCACATAAATTCGTCTTTTCATCTTCAATCGGGTGTAAAAAAATGAACAGAAGCGACCTATTTTGTTGTGCTAAAACCGTAACGAAGGGAGTTAGGAAAATATTAAAAATACACGCAGATGCGCCTTTTTTTTCTGATTCCGGCAAAGTATATAACTCAAATCGGTAAAAAATGTTAGATGCGTCTTTTTTCCTATCGGGGGCAGAGTTATGCACTACGTCACTGATTGGATTATGCAACACCACGGCACTTGTTTTTAATTTGTTTCAAGCATTGACCACTTCTAGTCTCGGGGTAACGTAGTAGTGTTGGGGGTCTAGCTACGATGCAAATAGCTCGATAGAGGTTGTTTTCACTGCAACTGGTGGCATAAAGACAACTATCTCGACTATTTTTCTGAATATCATTAACACATAAAACACTAAACTACGAACTTTGATAATAATTAGTGACACGAAGTTCAAGGCCATGCGAAATAATTTCACAAACGATCTACCCCGGCAGTGCCAAAGCACAAACTGAATGCGTGTGCGTGTGCGCCGTAGGGGTGAGAGTACTAAGGGGTGGAGCCGACGGAGCGTTTGCGTTTATTATTGGATTTTTATGGAATTAGGAATAATATCAATTACCTGTTTGAGTTTGTGTGTGTTGAGCCGCGTTATAAAGTTGGTTACAAAAATGCGGCGTGTAGTTCGCACTTACGGATTTCCGTAATTTACAGAAAAATGAAAAATATTTACCTACATTTTTTTTTGATTTGGGCTCAGAATCAATAGCCGAGTTACCTCCTAGAAAATGACGCGGCTTTAAAGCAACACCTTGTATAGGGAAAATCCCCGGTTGAAGACACGTCTAGTAGGAACGCCCACTGCACCGCTGTCATAAGGCAGGATCGAGGATCGGACGATGCATGCTGCACCGTACCTGCCCCTGGAGGCGGGGTTTACACGGGCCGGGGCGTAACGAACCTAATGAACGGGCTAAGTGCAAACATCATACGATGGCCCGTATTCATAGTCCAGTTGCGTCTACTTCTCGGATTGGGGTAACGATGATTTGTTTTTGTGTATGCGATTTGATCGCTACAATAGTTATGGCGGCTAACTTCCATAGTAAATTTTTGGCATTATCATCACAACAGCCGGAAGACGTCCATTGCTGGACAAAGGCCTCCCCCTTAGTCTTCCACGTCGAACGACAACTCGCCACCTGCATCCACTGGCTCCCCGCAACTCTGGCGATGTCGTCGGCCCACCTAGCGGGAGGCCTGCCCACGCTTCGTCTTCCGGTCCGTGGTCTCCACTCAAGGACTTTCCTGGATGCTGGCCCATTTGCCGTCAGTCCTTCGAGCGACGTGGCCTGCCCATTGCCACTTCAGTCTGCAGATTTTGCGAGCTATGTCGGTAACTCTTGTTCTTTGGCGAATTTCCATATTTCGGATTTTGTCGCGCAAAGAAACCCCGAGTATAGCTCTCTCCATCGCACGCTGAGCGACTTTGAGCTTCTCCTAAAGGTTAGAGGTCAGGGACCACGTCTCGGTACCATACGTCATCACCGGCAACACACACTGGTTGAACATCCTGGTCTTTAGGCACTGAGTGATTTTCGATGAGAAGATTTCGCATAACTTCCCGAACGCTGTCCATCCAAGTTGGATTCTTCGGGCGACCTCTTTGTCGAAATTGGACCTACCTAGCTGGATAATCTGCCCTTAGTATGTATAATGGTCTACAACTTCAAGGATATCGTTCCCAACGATGACCGGTACAGGTGCAACATGGATGTTTGACATGATTTTGGTCTTGTCCATGTTTATTTTAAGACCCACCTGTTGGGAGTTGGTATCGAGGTCGCTGAGCATGGTGTTTGGTCCACCAGCGACTCCGCCATGATGACTACATCATCGGCAAAGCGGAGATCTGTGATGTATTCGCCATTGATATTGATGCCCAGTCCCACTCCACTCCATTTAAGAGCTTGAAAACGTCGTCCAATGCGTTGGGGAACAGTTTCGGAGAAATCACATCTCCCTGCCTCACGCCTTTCTGCAATTGGATTGGTTCCGTGCTATCTTCCTGGAGTCCGATGCGATGGTGTTTCTATACAAACACTTTAGCACCTCGATATATCTGTAGTCGATATGGCATAACTGGGTGGAGAGACTGCAGCACCGCCCAGATCTCGATCGAATCAAAGGCTTTTTCATAGTCCACAAACGCCAAACATAGTGGCAAGTTATACCCCTCAGTCTTCTGTATAACTTTCCGCAGCGTATGAATGTGGTCTATGGTGCTAAAGCCTTTCCGGAACCCGGCTTATTCGGGAGGCTTTTTCTTTAACTTGGGAAAATCGGGCTGGAAGTCATCAAACCTGCGTTCGAGACGGTTCGTGATGACCCCCGGATACAGCTTATATACATGGCTCAGAGAGAGATGGGTCTATAGTTCTTCAATAAGGAGTTGTCACCCTTCTTGAAGAAAAGAACCACTACACCCCTTTGCAATGCTTTCGGCGTAGTTCCTTCGAGAATGACGGAATTGAATAGTTTCTGGAGGACTAAAAGTATCGGTTTTCACATCTTGTGTCTTTCGATAATTTGAGTTTCTTTCGAGAGCTATTGAGGTCTATTTCGGCGTGGGTTTTTGAATAACTCTGAGCCCACCGCTTGGACAGTTTCCACTAATGGGTTAGGTTATTTAACTCGTCAATCGTTTCACACTCAGCCAGGCACTGGAAGCGATTATGCAATTGGAGCTGGAACTGTCCGGGGTTCTGGATCTGGGCGCGATTAGGACGGAGTGTGGACCTCACCAGGCGTGGCCTCTCCAGCTTGACATTGATATTCAGTCTCCCTCTGACAATACGGTGATCGCTGCCGCAAAACTCACATTAGCTATCACAGAGACATCACTGAATATACGCTTGTTGGTCGCCATGATGTAGTCGATCTCAATTTTGGTATAACGTATAATCATCGGGGCTTATCCACGTTTACCTCCTAGCTGGTCACTTTCGGAAGAAGTTCATCAGAAAGAGTCTCTCCCTCTCCATAAAGTCGACCAGCCGCTGGCCCCGACGGTTTCACTGCCACACCCAAATGTCCCCATTCTCAGCTCTTCGCCGTTCCGTGTGCCCACCTTCCCGTTGAAATCCCCCATGACAGCGGTGAAGTGAGCTTCGGAGGTGTGAATGGCTTGGGAAATTTCCTCGCACAGAGCCTCTACTTCATCATCGCAGTGTGTCGAGGTCGGCGCGTATACCTGTATGACCTTCAGCGAATACCGGTGTGATATTCTGAGTATAAGGTACTATCCTGCTCGACACACTGTCAACTTTACTCACGTTGTTGATGAGGGACTTGCGGACGAGAAATCCGACACCACTCTGGGATTTTTGATCTCGTTTCATCGGATCGGGTCGGATCGGATCGGGTCGGATCGGATTTCAGATAGTCCTAAGATGTCCCAACGCATTTTGCTCAATTCTTCCTCCAGCTCGACAATCTTCTCGTTACCCGATCCGCTACCTAGATCAGGAATAGCGGAGCTGCCGGGGACTGGGGGCCGTGTGTTTGAGTTATCGTTCAAAGTGAGGAGGATCTGCCATAATCCCCACGCTTGGCAGGCGGCTTGGGGATCGTAGTTAGGTAACCGATGTATTTATGGAATGCTGCTGCCCAATCCTCGGTGTCTGGTCGTAGTTTTAGGACGTACCCGGGTCTGGTCCATTTTTGGCATCAACAAACAAAAATGAAGTTGTGTGTGTTGTCCCAGACGCGGGCCGCGCGCCGGGTACATGGGCCACGTGCTGCAGTGTCTGTGCGTGTGCGCGCGCGCCGCGCCCGACGTGGCGCGCTGGGCCGCCTTCCTGGACGCCAGCCTGCGCCCGCTACTGCAGCAGCTCGACACGCCGCTCGTACGTATACTGGCGCATACTCTGCCGCACGCACTGCGACCCTCGCTCACCGCTGTCTTACTTGTTGCAGGGCGGCTACTACCCGTCGGAAAACATCTACGAGGTGAGTGCGCTTTGTATAGTCACGGGGACAAACTGACAGATCCGATGGTAACCGATCAGCGCCGCCCATGGATACCGCATACCGCAACACCAGAGGAGTCACAAGTGCATAGTCGAACTTGCAAAAAGAAATACAATCTTTTCTTGAAGGTTTGAAAGTATCGGTTCCGGAACACCGCCGGCGACATTGTATGCCAATAATGAATGATGTTCCCATACGGTACTTAGTGTCTAATGTTGTTCCGCAGGTGGAGATCATGGCGGACACAATGGCGGCCAACTACGACGTGAGTATTGTACTGGTCACTGTGTATGTGTGTGTACTGTGTACTATGTAATAAGTTGGTGTGTGTACAGTTCAACGACATGGTGACGGCAGGCACGCTGTACTTGCCGGACGATGCCAACGCTGACGATGCCAATGATGTGAGTACATTACACAGTACATAATGTTACAGATATCTATTAAAATATGTAATCATGAAATGTATGCGTCTTACTAATGTTGTATGATCATTTCGTAGGTATGTGGCGCTATTGACTCGTCGGCTGAGTCTCCCGACTTCATAGCGGACGGACTGGGCGTTGACGATGCGGACAAAGTAAGTCTTGTTGTATTACAGGACATTCACCACATATTCTATACTTGTTATTTGATATTAATGCTTTTACTTACAGATGAGGGCAGCGAAGAGCAATTTCCTGGAGTTGGCCAACCAACGATTTGATGACGAGTGAGTGACAATTTTGTCTAGTACAATATAACAAAGCAATTGACACAGAACATTGATGTTTTACTTCAGAATACAGGTATGTGCTTCATAATATTTGTATAGTAAAGATTGTTTCGTTTTGTTCCAGTATGTGGGACGAGCCGTGCTCGGCAGAGGACGAGCACGACGAGCACGACGAGCACGACGAGCACGACGACCTGGAGCCGAGCACGCAGCACGACGTGCTCGACGTACTGCGCCAACAGAACCGTACGTATACTCCACAACTTTATAATGAGCCACTGTTTACGGGACCAAGGCTCACAACTGTCGAGTGGACACATGCGTACATGGTGGGATTGACGTGCGGTCTTGCGCAGCCTGGGCCGCGGCGCCGGCGGCGGCGGGCGGCGCGGCGGCC